GTTTTAATGTAAGGGTTTTAAAAACTTAACAGCATCAGTTTTTTTAGGGGTTTTTTTTTTTTTTTTTTTTTTTTTTTTTTTTTGCTATTTGCTTTCTTGTCCAACTAAAACCTCGGGGCATACAGGTATGAACTCTTCATGCCTTCCTGGATATAAAACCACTGTGACTTTTGCTTTCATTAGGAGAGTTGAATATGTGGCCTCTTTTGAGGCTATGGTAATTGTCTTGCTCTGTGACTGCTGTGGCCACCCCCAAAGGCCAGGTTTATCGCTCAGTATATGAGCTCACATCATGGGAAATCCCCGTTGATGTGACTTGGAGTGCTCAGGACGGACTGGAGAAAATGCATGGCTCTGAATTGCCGTGGAATCGCAAGCACCCGTCCAGAGGTTTAGTCTCAAATTTTTGGTATCAAGCAGGCAAGGCAAAAGGATGCTGCAAATTTTGCATGGAAAAGCCGAGTCTGTTTTGAATTATGTGCTGCAGTTTGTATTTTCATGCTTTACCTTGGGTTTGCAGATTTTATTGCTAGAGACTAGCAGCATACGCAGATGCTGGGTTGAAGACTTCTTGTGTTTGATACGCGCGGCTCGCTTCATTTCTGCTTCCTCTCCAGACCTCTTTTGATGGGGAAAGCAACTTGGAATTTAATCTAGGGCTCAATTTTGTGCCATCTTGTGCATTCCATTAAATTGGTGCATCTCACGAGTGGCCTAGATCTCATTTCCCTCCTGTTTTGGCTTTTCAGTCTCCAAAGGGTTGTAAAGAAATTGTTCTACCATCAATTCTTATTTCCAACCCCTTGCACAGAAGCTCTACTCTACCTCAGTCTGTAGGGAGCTGCTCTAAAGTGATCAGGCAGGCAGGCCTGTTGCATTTATTTATTTAATGTTAGTCCTTCCATCTCTCTACTCAGCCTTAGTCCTAGCATTTTCATACTTCACTTTGACAGTTTTGCTCTGTTTTGGTTTTTAGTGCAGAAGTCTCTTATTACTTCCACAGTTATTTTAACTGAAATACTACAGACTGTATTTATACTGATATTAATAAGGGATTTTTTTTGTTTTGTCCCTGTTGAATTATTGTCTCTCTCACTCTCTCTGAGTATATATATAGTTAGATAAGCTTTTATGAGGGAGAGGAAAGCAACGTGGGCTGTTGGCCCAAGAAAAGGCTGGAAATTCTTCTGATAATTTTGGAACAAACTCACTGTGTGCTTTTGAACATTTAGATGTACCCTTTATCTTGAGTTCCTGTAACGTTTTCCAGGAAAGGAAGATAACAAGTCACCTACCAAACGAAGAGATTGTAGAGATTAATTAGTATCTGGGCACTGCTTTGAAAATATGGCAGTGATCAAATGACATTGACTTTCCCACTGGTGTTATCCACCTGAATTTTTGCTACAAAAAGATTTTCTAAATGGTTGTTGTTAGTATTCACAAACAGGCTTGGGTTTTTAATTTTTTTTTTTCCCGCACTTTATGAAGCCACTGCAAAAGCACTTCTGAAGGAAGGTATTCATTCTTTCTCTTCCCCCATAGTATAGCTAGCCTAACTCAGGACATCCAATAGCCAGTGCATTATAGATGAGAAAATCCAGGCCTGATGTATAGTAGAATCTCAAATCTTATGGTTTATTATGTTGTAAGATATTTTTTAGGGGACATGGACTATATCCAGAGTCTGTGATACTTATGGACAATAGTAATTTACGTGCATTGTGTTACTATTTTGATTTTTTTTTTTAAAGATATTTGTGTGTTCTTGATGATGACGGAATTGCATTGTTTTCAATTAGAGGGATATACACTTGCATTCCGTAAAACGTATGCACACACAGAACAAGTGCTGATATGATACTGAAGTCTGAATAGTTTTGCACTTGTGATAAATACAGCTATCCTGACTGCATTTTGATCAAATTTCCATGCTGTAGTTAATGACTGTCTGCATCTGACACGG